ATATCATATCGTGACCCCTCTGTCATGATATGTATCGTATTGCCAAATTCTTGCCAATACACAGCCCTAGGTGTATGTTGAAAAATGTCACTTTTTAATTTTGTTAATTTTGTCCATGCTGTATGATGGGCTGTTTAAAACCCRACAGAACATTAATCTTGGTTGATTTGTATTTTACTGTTTTTGTTATTATGAATCTAAGTTTTTGTCTCCCTCATCTGAAGGAATGGGGACCGAGCTGCCCTCACCCGTTCCTCGGAACATTCAAACTCCAGCAGGACATGTCGTGGACYCCTGTGGATGAGGTAGAGAAGAGGGATGCTCAGATGGCCCTCATGGACAAACTCCTGAGGCAGCAGACAACCTTACCTCAGCACACCAGAACAAACTTCAAAGGCCTGACCGAATGAAGACTAAAAACTGCAACAGGCTCTGGGTGAAAAAGACTCTGCATACCCCAGACCACACAGGGACTAAAGTCTGCTGAAGTATCAGACTGGGACTCCTGAGATCCTGTTCTCTGCAACATGTTGGTCTCACACATGGCTGAGGAGTTTATCATTCAGTTTAAGATTTAAAGCTGTGTGAAACCAAGAGGAACTCTTGAGTTGGAAATAAATAGTTAAATTTTCAAACCCAATATGAATTCAGACATAAAACCAAACCTTCTCGTTTGCCTTCAGTGTTGGTCAGGAAACTTACCTTTCATATTTGCATCAGGATTTTTAAATCAGAGCTCCTGTTCAGCCTAAACAAACATTTATTGATTTATTTATTGTTTATGTCCAGGTAATAAAAGAAAAATGTTTAAATTTTGTGTTTCAAATAAAATTGGGTGCAATAATTTCAATCAACTTTGAAGTTTATTCATTGGAATTGAACAAAACGAAGATGTTAAAACAACTGCTTTGGTCTAAAACTGTTGTGTCAGCTGACAGCACGCTGTGAAGATGTGATGGTCAACAGGTAAGAGTTCAGGTGCGGCAGCAGCTGCCAGTTATCAGTGGTGACGTTGAAGTGCACGGTGTCCTCCTCGGCTCTGATGTTCAGCAGCAAGTGGTTCTGTGGAGGGAGGTACAACAGAACCTGGAACTCTTCTTGACCACATGGGTCTGACAAAAGGAAGGGGAGCAGGTGCTTGTTCAGCAGCATCCTCAGAGCCACGCCCCTCAGTTGGCAGCAGAACAGGCTGCGGCTTCCACCTCCGCTTTCAGAGCAGATGTCGTCCCAGAGTTYTTGGAACAGCTGCAGTCTGCTCCCTGGACTCCAGGCTGGAGGTGCAGGCAGGGGCATGAAGAGCTGCTGGAAGGCCACGTGAACATCAGGCAGGTCGGTGAGCCAGGTGAACCCGTCGCAGGTGGTGAAGATGGCGCTGACATGAAGGGTGTTTGGGTAAGGCTGCTGGGGTTTCAGTCTCAGCTGGACCACAGGCGGTGGTCGCTCCCTGAAGAGACACGGGACGCTGATGTCCTCCAGCTGCTCATAGTGATGGTGGGTGAGGCAGAAGTGGAGGCGAATGCTGAAGATCTGGTGGAATCGGGGGTCAGAGTCCTCCGTGTGGGTCAGCTGGTATTTCAGGGTCATTTCTGAGGCAAAATGAGGGTCAGTGAACTGAGCTCTGTAGGWTTCCAGAGGTTCCTGTACCTTGTTCTGATCTGGGACACAAGTTTTAGTTTCTGTTGGCTGTTCAGGAGCCTGAGTCAAACAGAGTACAGGCCTGTCTGTCCGGTGAATGGTCAGTGCGCTCGTCAGCCCCTCGCTCTCAGCCATGAGGCATGAGAGGGTTCTCTTTTTGACCTGATGTCCACCTTCACTCGAGCCCTGTGCCAGCATTGCTGCCAGCTTCTCCTGGGACAACGTGGTGAGGAGGGTGTAGTACAGGCGGGCGTGGTCTTGAATGTCTGTGTCTCCATAACAACACGTGAGGTGCTGAAGGATGTCCGCCAGAGGGACGAGCAGCGAGTCCACAGAGGGGTGGAGGAGCAAGCAGCGGCAGACTCTCAGCATGTCGTTTCCCAGATGCCAGTCGCCATCTGCACACAAAGGAGAGGAGGGGGTGATGATGCTGGACAGGAAGCCCAGGGAGCTGTGCTGGCAGACTTCTGCTTCCTCTGCCACCCGAGCCAGAACCTTCAGGTGCCAGCTGAGGGACCGCAGGGTGAGCTGGGTCAGCGGGGCCTCTGTGATCACCTTCTGGAGGCCCCTCAGTAGCTCTAAAGGCCAGCTGGACTCGAACAGGCTCTCCTGAGTCTGATCGGCCATGTTGATGAGGTGAGGAGCCAGCTGGGGGTGCTGCAGGTACAGCTGACACAGCTGTCCGCTCAGACCCGAACAGAACCGCTCCACGTGGCTAAAGGAAAGGAGGAAGAGGAAGACGGCTCTGAAGAAGGTCACCACAATCTCTCTGCTGCCTCCGCTCCCTACGACACGCAGCAGTGACATCAGCTGATCGTACAGGTAGGTTAGCCCCCCGAGCTCCCCCTCCTCCAGGTAGACCAGGGACAGCAGGCGGAGCCGAGCCAGCAGGGTGGGGCCGTCGTTGAACACAGTGGGCAGCAGGGCTGAGGCCAGCTGGGGGGTTAACAGCACAGGAAGGGCTTCGTCGCCATCGCCGCAGCCGATTGGCCGGTTCTCTGGGAAGTGCAGGATGCAGTCGATGTAGAAGAGCTTCTCAGGAGTGCTGAGGACAGGGTGCTGGGACAGGACCACCAACCGCTTTAGAAGGAAGGCCTCGTCCTCAGCGCTGAACAGGCTGTCTGTGAAGGCGCTCTTCATCAGCAGGGCCACATGGAACAGACACACCTGAGGGAAGACATTCAACAATAACAGGTCAAACATCAGGTGCTGCCGTCAACGTGCTGGGCAGTATACTAGTTCGTACCGAAAACCAGTTTTTACTTTTGTTACAAATTTTCTGAATACTGGACATACTGGTTTAAATCTGAACACATTCAGAATGTTACATCGCATGCGCCAGTCAACTGTTTCCCGGGGGACGGTTTTCCTCGTAGCAGGGTTATTATAGTTAACTAAAACTAACTAAATAACAAAAACTGAAA